TCTGGTGTGCAAAGCCAAAACTGCTGCAGGGCTCCACCCCTGTTGTGGCACAAGTGCAGATTCTGGTGTGCAAAGCCAAAACTGCTGCAGGGCTCGGCGCGGAGAGAGCATCGGCACCGCCGCTCCCCAAAGAATCCTCAGCGGCTCGCTCGGCGTTACCAGGGAAACGCGGCCGGCGCTCGGAAATTTCGGAAAAGCAAATACCGGAGGCACAGCCCGCATAGGAATTGATGGCAGGAGACACCACGGGCTTCCCTCGGCGGTGAGCTCTAGGGCAACAACCGGGTGAGCTGCGGGTTGTGGGCTTTGTCTGCCCTCAGAGTGGCCTGTGGACAGCATCACTTCATCCCCTGCCTCCACCTGGCTCATCACCTCATCCCTGGCTCTCCTGGGACGAGTGGAGAGCTGCTGCCTTTCCGCCAGAGCTGCTCACACAGCGCCGTTGTGGGGATGGGGTCGGTGAAATCCAGGTGTTGGAGGGCTCTGACTGCACAGGTGTGGCTTTCATCTCCCTGCCAGCGGCTTGAGCAGCTGCAGTGCACAAAGATGCAGGAGGAGCCGACAGCTCCCCGTAAAAGCAAAACATGTTTTGGTGAAAGCAAAAACTGCAGCAGAGCCAGGCAGGTGCCCCCGCGCTGCCCACGCCCAGCACATCCTGTGGATCCACACGCTCCATCCACCCTGTGCTCCTCCGGGCTGCTCCGGCCTGGGCCGTGCTGGGTATTTTTAGGTATGGTAATTTCTGCCCGTTATTGTTCCTGCATTTACAGCGAGCTGTTCCCGTGATGAAGAACTTCCTGGTGTCTGAACAGGCTGATTTCCCTTCCTTGCAAAAGCAGCAGATGGAAGGAAACAAACACTTCTCTTCAGGAGAAGTTGAAGTTTAATGCGGGAGCTCTAACAAGCACAGCATTTTCTTTTGCCCCATCTTGAAGGGATCAGACTCAGCAGTGCTCAGAGACCAGGGCTTTTGCTATTGGGAACTGCTTGGGAGCACTGGGATTATTTTCCTGAAAACACCAACAATTAAAAAATTATCTCCATGAAGAATCCTCTCTGTAAATCCTGTAATTAAAGAGTCTTTTTAATATACACCATCAGTCACCCTTTCCTGCTCCAGCATGTTCCATTTACCTTCTGACCCCAATTTATAAGAAAAGGAGAAATAATAGATCTGGAGAAGAGCTGCTCTTTCCTGCAAGCTCCATGCACATCCTAGCTCTCCCAGCAGCACCCAAGTCCTAGTTAAGGATATTTTTGGGGTCACAACAAGCCGATGTGTAGGGCAATGCATGAACAGGCAGCTCTGGAGAGCACCCATGCCAGTCCCTTCCCATTTTGCTGGTGACGTTCCCATGACAAATCTGTCAGGACCTCACTCCTCACCAGGTTCAAAATTGCCAGCCGAAGCAGTAAGGGATTTAACCTGGATAGCAAGGTTAAATTAACCATTGGTTAATTGTTATTTCTCCAGTAGGGTGAAGAACAATGGAGCAACGAAGGGCATTGAGCTGACCCTGAAGTCAGGCTGGACTGAGCTGGCTATGCTATGTGGAGGCAATTTGGAGCTCAGCTCTGCGTGCCCCGTGCACCATCCAGCACACCTCACTGCATCCCCCCATATCTGCACCTCGGTTCTGCTGCTGGCTTTCAGGGGAAGAGAACTCCCATTGGGGAATTCTTCCAATTCAACGCCACTGTTGTTTTCATTCCTCCTCCTCACAATACTCGTGGCTTACTGGGCCATCATTTTCCACACCAGTGAGCAAGGCACGGCTCCCACCCGGCTGTGGGACGTGTGGCTGGGCTCGCTGGGGCTCTCCTCGTTCCAGCAGACCCCATGTGACAGAGTGGCTTTTGTTGCTGCGATAAACACCAAAATTGCAGCTGCCTGCATGTCCAAAACCCCACACCTGCAGAACCTGCTGCTTCCGAGGCAGTGGGGCAACTTCCCTGGGCAGGGGCAGAGCCACAGAACGGTTTGGGTGGGAAGGGACCTTAAGATCATCCACTTTCACCCCGTGCCATGAGCATTCCACCATCCCAGGTGGTTCCAAGCCCAATACAACCTGGCCTTAGACACTTCCAGGGATGGGCCAGACACAGTTTCACATTTTTGGGCAAAAAGATCAAAGATTATTCAAGCACAAGATGATCTCAAGCATAAAAAGTCTTTGTGGCCAAGTGATATTTTGGGGAGGAGCATCTGTTAGACAGCATTTATTAATCCTTAACAAATCTCTCCAGCTTAACTATACAACTCTAATTCAGGATGTTATTCCACAGTGGGAAATGACATCTATGTATATTCAAACCCTGTGAATCCGATTCTTGCACATGGAGTGTCTCTGCCTCCAGGGACACAGGACTACTTTTGGATGAATGACAAAATGTTTCTGTCATGTGAACATTTTGATTTTTTTTAATTGGGTAATTTAGCACTAAAAGGTTAGAACAAAGATCTAGCTTTAATGTCCTACTCAGTTCTTACTAGTTTAGCTTACACACCCTGCTTTTGAAGTTTATTATTTAGCTTTTAGTGTTCAATATTTATTACAAAGTGCACATTAAAAGTGTTCCCTTTATTGCTCAGTTGTACACAATAATTAAAGGAACAAATGTTTAGCTCCAAGATTTCAGAGGACTCACTCCACTACTTGTCATACTTTCAATTGCCTTGAAATACTTTCACAGCACATCCCGTACGGAAGTCACTAAAATCAATGACTTCAAGCTTCAAGTGTCTCTTGGGAGAAAAGACATTTTCTACTGGAGAAAAAGACCAAAAACACAGAGGCATGAAGTGATTTGCCTCAAACCACTTGGGAAATGAAAGCAGAACCAGTCATGTGCTTTAACCACAGCATCATCTTTCTACTGAGCTTCCTTCCCCACCTTAGAAAACAAAAATAAATGCAGGGAGAGAGGCTGGAAGGAATTGCCCTTACCCCTCCGGAGTCAGTCATGCTCAGACTAGATGGACTAATTAGGCCGTGATTTGCCTCCACTGGCCCCAAAATGGCTTTGACACAAATGGTTTCACAATTTCTCCAGGATAAGATCCAGCATTTTCTCTGAGGACATGCACAGGTTGAATCTTATTTTAGTCTCTGTGTTGTCCAAGTCAATCACTGTGCAGCTAATTACCACTGCTGCCACAGCCTTACTTAGGGGTGTAATCCCACCTCAGCAGCGAGTAAATCCATGCACGTCATCAGGACAGCTCCTCACTGCAGGGAAAGGCTCAGTGCAAATGGAGAGTCTTGTGGAAAGGTGAAACCAGAGTCTGCAGCTCTTGTTCCAGCTCCTTCAAAGGCACCTGTGTTGCAAGAACCCTGCCTCATCCTTGTGTCTCCCGCATTTCTCAGGAGCCACTCTTTGAGGTTATTCATCGCTAAAATCCTTCACGGTTCCTGCCTCTCCTTCAGCATGAGAGCTGGGATATTCATTCATCTCACTAAGACATCGATGAACTCCCTACCCCTCAAAGGCAAAATACAGGGAGGAAAGAATCCAGGCTGATTATGGTAGGGAATAATGAGCATTGAGGCCTGTATTTATGACTGAGTGTGCAGTTCAAAACCATGTCCTCGGGCTTCAATGCTTGCAACTCTCTGAATTTGCAGTTTGGAATCCCAGCGGGGCTGATTCAGCCTTCCTTATCCTAAAGCTGATATATTTAAATCTCATCCACCTTAGGGATTGATGTACAAGCCTGACTAGAGCTGAACCGCACATGTAGAAAACAAATGTTACACAAGCTGAGAAGTGTTTTGGCCAATGTAACACTGAAGAACTCAGAATAAACCAACTTCTCTCACTGCGTGGTTTCCTACACGTGCTCCTTTTGGAAAGAAGGAGCTCAACACCATCTGCTCCCTGTGGGTATGGAAGATCTGACAGCAAACACCTCGTGTTTGGTGCAGCAGCTGCTGGCCTGTTCCCTGCCCGTGTGGTGACAGGGATGGCTGGGGTCATGTGTGACCCAGGCTTGGTCAGTGTGCCTCACACAGGGCTGGTTCCTCAGTGCTGGCTCTGGTGTGTCCCTGCTGAGGCAGCATGGCTTTACATCAATTTCCTGACTCCCTAAGTTTCACTAACACATCCTGTGGCAGCTTCCACTCTGAAAATTATACTTCAGTTCCACAATGTCCATTATATGTAGTGCACGGAGCTTGTGGGGTGGCTCCTGCGGCTGTGGTGGCGCTGGGGACATGGCTGGCTCTCGGCATTCCCACGGCTCCCTGCACCCAGCCAGGCTGGCTCCGGGCTTGCTCCCTCACCTCCAGCCCCGGTGGAGCTGTCCTGCTTGGAAACCAGCCCAGCAGAGAAGGACCTGGGGATGCTGGTTGACAGCAGCTGAACAGGAACCAGCGTGTGCCCAGGAGGGCAAGAAGCCAACAGCACCTGGCCTGTCTCAGCAATCGTGTGGCAGCAGGAGCAGGGCAGGGACTGTCCCCTGTGCTGGCACTGCTGAAGCGCCTTGAATGCTGCATCCAGTTCAGAGCCCCTCATGGTGAGAGACACATTGAGGGGCTGGAGCGTGTCCAGGAAAGGGAACGGAGCTGGGAAGGGGCTGGAGAATTCCTGAGGGAGCTGGGAAAGGGGCTCAACCTGGAGGAGGCTCAGGGGGAACTTGTGGCTCTGCACAGCTCCTGGCAGGAGGGAACAGCCGGGGTGGGGTCAGGCTGTGCTCCCAGGAACAGGGACAGGAGGAGAGGGAATGGCTTCAGGCTGGGCCAGGGCAGGCTCTGGCTGGACATCAGCAGGAATTTCCCCATGGAAAGGGGCTCAGCCTGGAGAAGAAAGGAGGCTCGGGGAAAACTTGTGGCTTTGCACAGCTCCTGACAGGAGGGGACAGCCAGGGTGGGGTCAGGCTGTGCTCCCAGGAACAGGGACAGGAGTAGATTAGATTCCTCAGGAAACTTCTGCTGAGGAGGACTCCTCAGGCTGGACCAGGGCAGGCTCAGGGTGGACATCAGCAGGAATTTCCCCATGGAAACGGGTGTCAGGCACTGGAACTGTCCGGGGGGGTTTGGATCCCATCCCTGGGTGTCCCAGGAAGGGCTGGAGCTGGCACTGGGTGCTGTGGGCTGGGGACCGGGCGGGCGTCGGTCGCAGCCTGGACTCGCTGCAGTCGCAGCTCCCTCCCAGCCTCGCCGGCCCCGCGGCCCCTCGGGAGCGCCGCCGGCGGCCCGGGGCGGCTCCGGCGGCGGGCGGGGCGGGAGGCGGCGCGGCCGAGCGTGACGGGGAGGGCGGGAGCGAGCGGAGCCCGCAGCGAGCAGCGCCCGGGCCCGCACCCAGCGCACCATGGCGGCCGCCGAGCCCAGCACCGGCCGCTACCAGCAGGTGAGGGCGGCGGGGCCGGGCCCGGGCGGCTCCCGCGGCCGCGGGGCCTGCGCTGGCGGCAGCGCCCGGGGCGGAGGCCGCGGGGGCCGGGCCGGGCTCGGGGCGGGGTGTGCCCGCGGTTCGTGCGGGGCCGGGGCCGCTGTTTGCTCTGCCCTGGGGCTGGGGCCCGCACGGGGCCGGGGCCGCTGTTTGC